GAGGATGGTGAATTTCAGGACGCGAGTGGTATGCGGGGACAGAGTTTATACGATGTGTATGACCCTGACCATGCGGCTGACAACGAGGATCACGCAGACGACGACGATGAAGATGTTGATGACGACGATGAGGTGGGTGGCCATTACGGTAATGTCGAAGATGATGATGAGGATCATGGTGAAGAATTTGATGATGATGATGACGATGAAGATGATGATGACGACGATGATGATGATGATGAAGATGAACCGGATGAAGATAATGGTGATAGTGAGGACAATGCCGTACTAGGTGATAACACCTCACTTTCCAATGAGATGACCGTTTTGCTGGCTCAACTGATTGCTGAATCTGAGCAAAATCCAAATGCGGACGGGTCGATGTTTTTCAGTGATCTTCCGTGGCCTGTGGTTCGTGTATCTGATTCTGTTTCACGTACTGAACGCCGCCAGGAGAATCCACAATCCGGTCGAGTCGAGGCTAGTAGTACTGTTGGTTCCGCAGAAGTAGTTGCATCCGGATCCAATGTAGAATCAGACCAAGCTCAAAATGTCGATCCGGAAGTGCCGGCGGCCACAGACGAGAACCGGGATCGTAATGATGCCGAAGCCGAGCCGGACGAAGAACAGATTCCAGCTCTATGGGATTCGGATGAGGGTGTTATCGATGCAGAAGTGTTTGAGTCAGTGGTACACATGATGACATCGGCCGACTCCAATACTCGCGTAGTTTATCAGGAACTATATGAACAAGTGGACGAGGATGATGTAAGCATTATGTTCTCTTTTTATGTTGTTGATTGTGTGATTATATCCTGTACTCACGTCAGTTTCGCTTTCATGATTTGCGTGCGTGTAGCTTACCGGAATTATTGGGAATTTAGCATTCTGTAAGTAAGTCGAGCAAGTCTTTGCACATAATTCGTCACGAAGATTTCTATTGTTGGTTTTATTTATTTTCTCCGAATGCCCTCAGACGTGCGCTAGTGAAGTCTCTGTCTGATCAAAATTTGATCACACGGTGGTGTATGCTAAGGTCACATACACACATCGTTGAGTTTCTGCATCTGGTTGGTCAGAATTTTCCTATCTCGGTTCCGGTTATCACATTCGGAGTAACCAGTGCACTGTCACCCAGTCAAACCGTAGGTCATCGCGACTTGGATTTCCCGGATCCGGTTTGCATGCTTGCACCCGGATAGTGTGCAATTCGAGTTTTATGTCCCTCTCCCCACGATGAACTGGTTTCGTGTGATCCATCACCCTGGTTTTAGTTCTGACCCTCACTTTAGTTTAAACATCATTTCCACGATGACAGTCACTTTGATCGCCCCATGAATACTTTAAGAAGTGCGCTTAGTGCGAATAATTATTATTTGGAGAACGAGGCTTAGTTCCGTATCGAGCGCGTTCGAAGTGATTGTTCCAATTTTTCGGGTCATCGAAATTTACAAGTACACGTAAGTGTCATTCGAATGATAATCCAACTGAACCTCTATCTCCCCCGTGTATTGTTTGATCAAAATTCAATGAACTAATTAATACCTGTGTTGGTTCTCAAACTGCTCCGAATGAGTATCATCTCTTAGTGATAAATCCGTCCGTCCTTGCTGTTCGGCCACTTGCCTTTGTTTCTATTTCGATTCAATGTCTAGTCTCGAATTACGTCAACTTACTTCATTTTTTCCCCTGCTTCAACAGGTGTTGAACTACACACTGCAACTGAGTTTACGGGATTTGGATGGTCCACCTGCATCAAATAGTGTGCAGATCGATGTTGAGCCACAAGTGGTTGCTCCAGATGATCACGTATCAGACCCAGTAGAGCAGCCAGAATCACAGCAACCACCACCACCACAGCCCACCACTTCTTCGGATGNCGGATGCGAACGCAGCTGTAGCGGGGAATGCAGATCCCGTACCCTGTATCACGAACGAAACTACAGTGAGTGCTCGCCCAATTCTTTCCATTCTTTTGTTCTTTTAAAAGCTTTAACCATTGACGCGTTTCATCGGAATCTTCACTTTCCCTTCCGAAAAAAAATTGTTACTCTTCCTCACTGGGGCTGCCTTGGTTTTTTTTACTTCATTTGAGAACTAAATTTATTCTATATTTTGGTTTCTATCACATGTGTGTACCACTTCCTCGGTAAACAGGATGTCTTCCACGCTTGTTCGTCCTGCTTTAATATATATATAACACCGGCTTGTAGACAAGCATGGTGCCAACGCCACAGCAATGTAACAATAACAATAATAGGGGACAGGTGGATTGGGATGCAGAACAAAGTGGTTTGGTGGTCATTTCCTTTCGTGTTCTTTGGTCCCGAGATTGTCATGTTTGAACCCCTTCACCGTGACTCCAATTTTGTGATAGCCAATTTCGCTGTCATCCGGCTGAACACCACGCCTTACCTATTATGGACTCATGTGGTTCTCCACTCTAAATATAAAGGCTTGGGTTG